CCAGATGCGGATGACCACCAGAGCGATCTCAAACAATGAAAAAATCACTGTTCACCAAGAGATAAAATAGCCAACATTATTTTGTCTATTGGAATAAGCCTGTATTTATTCTTGCAGGGTTATAGGCTCTGGCAAGCTGTGTTGGAAATTAACCTCACTGTTTTTCCTTTGAGCAGCTGTAAGAGAGAAGTTGCAGATCCTTTACAATGACTGTCATGCATGTTCCAAGGGTACTTTAAAGACGCAGCAGCTCCTGAGCAGTTCCCAACTTTTTGCCTTACCCAAGCTTTTTAATGTAAAAGGTGTGTGGAAATAGTACAGGTTTTGGGGTGTTGCATGACATGGAAAGAAGCAGGAAGGGACATCATAGCTAGAACCTGTTCTGTCTGCTGCTTAGAGAGACATGAGCAGAGACATGGGCAGCTCCCACCTATGAAGAGTGCCCAGGTTTCTCTTTACACACCACAGTGCAAAGCAGAAAAAAAAAAAAAAAAAAGAAAACCCAAACCCTGACTGTAATTATTAGGTCCAGCAAGTAGCTCAGAAGCTTGCCTGTGAACTGGACATCTCAGGCTAGCTGTTTCAATCCCCTGTTTTACAGATAGATCCTCTATTTGGGAAGCTACATTTCTACAGTTACATAGTTCTGTTGAACAGGTGCCTCTTACAAAACAGTTTTTCATTTTATGCTCATCTGTAGCAAGCTCACACCTTAGCTACTGATGTTATTATTTCCTGCACCCTCCTTGTCAGAAAAGTAGCTGCAGTTTGCAAGTACACATTAGAAAAGTCCTGTAGTCTTTCATGAAATCAAAATGGATGATTTCTATAAATTTCAATATGGTTCTATGTAAACAAGCTTAAATTCCTACATGATTTAAGAAATATTTCCTCCTGGACTTTTTGCAGATGATATACAGAAATTACTTGGAAAAAAGTGATATTAAATTCTATATATTAGGTAACATACAATTCTCTTCTATAATTTTTCTTCCACTTCTTGAAATGTATGCATGTTTATCATTGAATAAGATTGACGTGTTTAATAATTCATTAAATTGCATTTAAATGTGACAGTTTTGTAAATGTTATGATAAATAGTAATTGAAGTAAATTGTTTACAAAGTAGGAGCAAATCCTTCCATGTTGTCTGTTTTGATCTAGAACAAGAATACCAGGCATCACTTTAAACAGAGAAAGCAGCCAAAACCCAGTGTGATGTTTTTCCACATCACAACCAAAGAGTTGTCACAAAACCAAACCCTGTTATGCATTCATGAAACCAAAGCTTTTTTTTTTTCAGCCAGAAGAGAAAGACAAGCCCATAAAATTAAGAGTCAACAAGCAAGCACATGGGATAACAAATAAGCAGGAGAAATGGCTAAAGAGTTTGTGGATTTCAAAAAAATTGGTCAAGCTGTTATAAAAAAAAAAAAAGTAGATTTTTCCTCTGATACATCATCAAGGTGGGTCACAACCAGTATTTACTAACACCACCTTTTAGTAAGCTCTAATAAGGATAGACCACTTTTCTAGGGACCAACAAAGTCCAGAAATTTTCATACACTACAACTCAGCCTCCTGGTTTCTGGCAACTGTTGGCACATACTCAGGTACTTACAAAAGTCATTCACAAACTCACAGAAAGGCCTTTTATCTCCCAGCAAAAACACATTACTTAAAAAAAAAAAAGTTTTATTAGTAGAGATGGGAATTAACATCAAGAAGGAAGCATTAAATGATCACAAATATTCCCCATTGAAAAAGAGGATTGTATTTACCTGCCAGAATACAACAATATCAAAGCCAAGTTGACTATTCATATTCTCAAAGCCCACAGTATCTCCCTAATAAGAAACCAGTGACATATGACAGTGACTGGCTAGAGGCGAGGGGATGAGGCAAACACAGTATGGTATTGCATGAGCACATCCACAGGACTTGCAGCTTGACTGCCATACACTTATACTTGCCCTCCCAGTTAACTCAGATATTTCTAAGCTAGTTTTGCTTAGGAGACATATTCTAAAGGACTCTGAACAGAGCTCTCAGTACAAGCTGAGAAATTTTTCATCAGTAATGTTTTCTGACCAAATATGATCAAAGTGATATAACTTATAATAATGACAAATGATTTCATTGATTAATTTTCAGTTGAACCATTGCTCCCTTTGTATTCAAAAATAATACCAAAATATAGCAAAGACTCCATGTTAATGGCATATGTATTTTTTTCTATAAATTGTTTGTCTTGAAAACTTCGTTTTTGCTAATTAGCAGCAATTAGGAATACTTCATGCAGAGTCTAGTGATCCATCTCAGACAGAAAATATCATCTTGTTATCAAGCATTTTGAGGGAAAGATATTTCAGCCTTTTAACATCTTTAATTACTCTTCTCAGTCAACCCAGACAATGCCCTTTTCCTTTTCATTTGTCTAAACTACTGGAAAATATCAGTTATGTATACAGCACTTTAGGTTCACACTCAGTGTTTCTGAAAATAAAACAGGCAGCTTCCACAAGTTCCAGTGGGCCATGTTCTAGCAGCAACCTGAATCATTTCAAATAATTGCCTTCCTCTTGTAAGAAACACAAAGGCTTTTATGAAATTTAGTATACTTTGAAAAGGAATTAAGGCTATAAGAGTTTGTCCCTAATATTTGATTTCAGAGCTGAACTTCAGGTACTCCAGCTTGAAAAAAAAAACAACCACAGACATAATATATGCAATGCAAAACATACAGAAGTACTTCAGGTTCCTTGAGAAGAAAGGGGTAATGGATATATCTGTCAATTACACATTTGCAACCATACTGGATGCTGTATAAAACATTACCCTGGGTACATTTAATGTACAAGATTTTTCCCTGATTTCTGTAAAACTTTATAGCAAACATTGGAGAAAACTCTGAGAAAAAAACAAATAAGAAATTGACAGATTTCTTTAACCTTGACACTACAAAGTATAGTTTGAAGAGTCAAGATCTGTAAGGTCATATCATCAAGGAGAGAAAGAAGGAAAGAAGCAAAGAAGCAACTGGTACGTGAAAGCATTATATCACCACAGGATTACAATAAAGTTATCTGTGTGATGGAGCATAGCACTGCCAGAAGTAATTAGTACTCTGTATCTGCAAGATGTATATTACCAGCAAGAGATCTGTGATTACTTTTAGTTGGGCTAATGAAAGACCTCTGCTTATCCGTATTCCAATTCATTTCTATTCTCTCCTATCCGGTTTTATCAGCATTGGGATTAACATCAATAATAGGGCTGTGTGCATATTTACACATTGTAATTAAGTGCTGGGGGAAGACGGAAGGGAGCTCTTTAAGAACATTTATTAAAATGCAGGCACACTGCTAATCAGAGTCAAAATTCAGGGAGAAGTTATTAGAAAATAAAAATCCACTCCAGGATAAGAAAACAAGAGTTCTCTGGAGGCCTTCCATGGGTAGATGAATTAAGCAGGATTCACTGAGAGCATCAAAGGGACTCTACAGAAAATGCTAGAGTACTCACCTGAAAATCTATGTTACAGTTAAGTCTGGCTCAAAAGCTCAGCATTTCAAGAGGAGTAGTAATTCACCTGGTAGATGCTACTCATCACATCAATGAAAGGTGAAGAACTTCGCCATTATGGCCTGAATTCAGCAAAGCACTTAAAAACATTCTTTACATTGGACATATCCTTGATGTCATCCCAATTTGAAAGCTGCATAAATTGCTTAATTTTGAGGGTAATTTCCCTTGTGCTGACAAGAGCTAAGCCTCTACTTAACCTGATCTGCTGTAAAAACTGAGTACCTCTGGATGCAATACACGGTTGCACATGCAAGATCGTTGTCAATGGACCCCTCACACTGAAGATTTTTGTTCAACATGACAAGGCAACTCATTTAGCACAATGTAATTTACCACCAAGACTTCAGTGTTGACCAGCTTTGCATAAATTTGTTTTCCAGCAAACAGTATGAAGGCTGGAGCATATTAGGTTTCACTGTGTTTGAGAAACTGACAGAAAATAGTTTTGCAGAAATTGTAGATGGTACACAAAATCCAGTTTAAAAAATCATTTGGTTCATTATACAAAAACTTGCATTGTTACATATCTACTGATAGGGTTGAAAACATATACCAATTAATATCATACTGTAAAATAAGCACTTTGTGCTGAATCAGGATTTCAATTTCTTTAAACAAGTTAACAGAAGCCAATAATGGGGACCAAATTTTTTCAGTCACATCCACAAGGTGAACTGTGTTTAGAATCCTAAAGATGTCTTTCCACCAAGGGCTATCCTCAAAGGTTTACATTTTCACTTCTTCTACCACAAAAAAAAAAAAAAAAAGCCTTCTGCCTTGCTATTTACCTCCTTGTGTTCCAGAGAGCAGTTTCATTTCAGTAGCAAAGGCAGTACTAGCTATGTTAATACTTTAAAATCTTTAGCAATTAATTGCATTTATATAAATACAAATTATTATTACTATTTTTCTCTTCTTCAGACTACGTCCTACTACCCCCTTTCTTCTGGAGTCAACCTTTTCATGCTTCATGAACAAAAGTCAAAATCCAGAAATAACTGCACTCAGCAGAGCTACAAACTTCATCAGGGAAATTGAGTTCATGATAAACATTAATTTCAGCCACACACCCTCCTCTGAAGTGGGTAATTACTGTCCCCATTTAGCATAAGAGAAAAAACTGAAGGAGAACGATTTGCCTGAGTCAAGTAAGGTATACAGCACATAACAGTGTTCATAACTCCAGTCCAGCACTCTGGACAGAAAGGAGTACTCTAGACAGAAAGCCATTCTTTTCTTCATATGCCCTGTGTAATTAAATCACTGTAGCCCACCATGCAAATGCCTAGCAGTAGCCCATACAATGAAAGCAAGGCTCCAGTTTCTTCCAGCATGCTCTCAGAATATTCAAGTCAGTTTCTCTCAGAACATTCCAGAGAAAATAATGATAATAATGAAATCTAATGACCTACTGCAACTCCGAGTCATTTATTGACTGTAACATGATTAGCTGTTTACATATAACCCCCAAAAAGACAAACAGGAAAGTCTGTGGATTGAGTCCAAAGTGAGCAACCAGATTACGAATATAAAAAGATCTGGCCAGAGTGAGTAGATTTGAACCGGCAACTTGAGAGGAGCTTAAATGATTCGTTTCATTCACATATATTTTGACACACACACACACCTTACCTTATTTTCAGGCTGCAAATTATTAAAAAGCCTTGCTACAGGAATAGTAGTTTGTTAGCTAATTTCATCAGTAATATCAACCTGCAGCTGATCATAGCAGAGTGCACCCAGCAGGAGTGCCACATACTGCCTCCATCAACAAGGAGTCACCTCTGTAAGGGAGATGAGAACAAACTGTGGGAATGAAGCAGACCATACTTCACCCCATTCCCTTCACAGTGGTGTTTCCCTTCAGCCCATCTCAGCTCCTTCATCAGTTAAAACAGAAAGCAGTAAACTTTCTTTTATAGCTCTGGGTGGTGTAAGGATAAAAACTGCACTGTACTCTCTGAAATCACCAGAGGAAGGTAGAGCTTGCAGTGCTTACTCTGCCACAAAGTTTTTCCAGCAGCTTTGGGAACCTCACTTCATGACCCTGTATCCACATTTTACTCCTTCCTTATGTTTTCTCTCTTTTTATTGTCTCTCAAAAGAGAAATTCCTTCTGTTCAGGGCTTCTCAGTCCTCAGTGCACTTTTTCCACAACTGAGCCAAGGATCACTTGTTACCTCATCAGTACTGTCAGAGGTTACTGAGAAACGTGGCAATGCCATTCTGGCTCATCAGTCCTCCAACTAATACCTTCACATGTAGAGCCATTTTTTATTTACGATATTTCCTTGACACTCTTTCTATTTATGTTGAATTAAAATTAATCAGTCAGGTGTTTGCCACAGCAAGCCATGTAACTTAGCTTGGCAGCATGACATTATCACTAGCCAAGCAATATTAGTTTTGTATGATTAGGATCTCCTGGGAACGCATTCCATGAGAGGACTTCAGGTGCTGTAGTCATAAACCATTATGCTCCCTCTTAAGCAACTGTGTGACAACCTCTCCCAAGGACAGCATCAAAATCGGGAACAGCAGCTCAAACCTGATTTATTAACAAGAACATCAAGGGCATTAGATTATCATCTGCAGCAGGAAATCCTACCCTGTGTTAACCCTTTCAGTAGGTGGTGCGGCGCTGTTATCTGCACTGCCTAGTACTGGGCATCAGACCATCTGCAGTCAACTGGCTGTCAAGGAGATTTTCATCAGTATGGTGTTTTATTTTTTCCTATTTATGCTCCACCCAGAAAGTTCAGTTCAATGTCCCAAACCCTTTGATGTAAGTTATCCATGTGTTTACTAACATTGCAGTTCTTTCCACTGTGGGTACAACTTTTTTGTTAAAAAAAAAAAGTTGCTTTTTTGTGCTTTTTGTTAAAGTAGTTGCTCACGTTGGGCTGGTGGGCATTGGCTTGCTAGTGTTGCCTGTAACATTAATAGTAGCTGGTCAAGATTCTGAACACAGAGTTCAGATAACAAGACAGGTGCCCTAGGACTCTACCTCTGCCAGAGATGCAAAAATCCATAACTCAGTAATTTGTTCACTAGTAAATCCCCTAAGATTGAACTGTTTTTTTCCAGACAGCAGGCTTGAGTAGGCAGTGCTGGGTTAAAGGTGGTTATAAATCACTGCACTTTGACCCCTCAGAAGTGCAATAAGGTGGCCAAGATGCCTCTTTGACCTCATATACTAGAAACATTGGATCAGTACTACTTCCACCCTTATCTCAGTTTTCATTCCCAGCTGAGTCTACCACTAACTGTGATCTTCTTCCGATGTTCCTTCAACGTTAGGCTGCTCGCTTTTCCACGTAACCCTCAGCTGTCCATCCATTGAGTCCAGACACTCCACAACATTATAAATCCCTCCTCAGAATTACAGTAGGCTTCATTGTCTTGTTCAAAAGAGAATCCTCCAGCAGTGAGACAGAGACCTCTTCTCCATCTCTTGTCATGTCTTCCAAGGGCTTACCAGAAAAAAAAAAAATACATTATTTCAAGTTTGTTTAATCAAATCCCAGCAAGCATGGACAATTGTCACAAATTTGTGTTTCCCTTTACCTATTATGACTGAAAACTGAACTCAACCCTTGACACATTTTCCCTGGTTTTGGGAACAGGGGTCTTAAGTCTCCTAAAATAGCTAGACTTTTTTTTTTTTTTTAAGGAAGTCTTCAGTAAATCCAGAATATAACTTTGAGACTAAAGAGTATGCTCATCAAGCAAGAACTGCCCTGAATATTCAGTCATTAGCAGATGGTGGCCTTCAGCAGAATGAAGGCCCACATGAATCCCAAAAGTTAATTGTTGCAAGATGGAATGCATCATTGATGCAGACAATCAAGCTGGGAAGGATTTATGTTTCTTTAATAGGCCAAGTCACCGGGCCTGAAAGCCATTACTTGCATAAAAAAAATTGGTGACTACTTTTACATCTACTGTGAAAATACTTTTAATATATACAATGCACTGCTTTGCAGTTTGCCATGGGTTTTAATCACAAAGATAATAGGTGTCATAATATTAATATAGCAAGAAAAATGTGTTATGCAACAGGGAAACAGTTACTCAAACGTCTGCAGTGTTTGCCAGACTGGCACAAAGATAAGCAAAAAGACACCAAATGCATACTATGTTTCAAAAACTAAGTTTTCTCTTTCCTCTACAGTATTAAAGATTAGCACAGGAATTTTAGAGCCTGTTTGAGGTGACATGAAGACATAAATGATGACAATCTTTGCACTACAGATCCAGACAAGCAGATTGCCCCTGCTACAGAAAAGGTTGCCTAAAGGTGCAATTTGCCAGAACAGAAAGATTCTGTCATACAGCACATAGAATCAGCTTCACCATTACATATTATTTGACAAGTTTTATTTTCCATTTACTTTCTCTCTTAGTCAAAGAACATCTCTGCACTTGTTTCATCCCATCTAGGGGCAGGCTGTTAACCAGAATGATTTCCCAGGAAAAGGGCACAACAAGCAAAATCACATTTTTTACTACTATCTTCAGTTCAATAAGGATAAGCAAAGAGTCAAGCCTATGAACAAATCCTTTTCTTAGAAACAGCAACCTTCAACCTACAAAACTGTTAGATACTCTAAATGATTATGCATGTATATACATATATAAAGATATCTATTTCAAAATTCAAATATCTATTTCAAAATACTAGTATTCACAGTGATTGTTAAATCAATGCAAAACACATAGAGATGCCCTAATTTCTCTCCCCCATGAATTTTACTGACACAAAATACATAGGAAAAAAAAAAAGTAACGTGCCCACATGGAACAGTACCGTTCCCTCTTCCCCCATGTTCAAACAAATTTATTTTTGTTTTTAAATATGCTTCTCTGTTTGTTTGTTTTGCAGACATGGAGGGGTTTATATCGATTTGGTGAAACAAGTGAACTGGGGAAACCACTGATGTCAGATCAACACAATTCTGAAGATAAAGGACAAGGCATATTTTCTCCTAACTTTACTTGGAAGTTTAATAATTAATTTTTCAAATTAGTATTACTAAACCAACCTTCTTCAATATGACTATCTCCTAAGTCTCCTAAGAGCTGCCAGAAAATATTTTGAAAATTTGCTAGTAATAATACACATATGCTCTAAAAAGATTAGAGCAATTTGACATTCGCAATCCATATATCACAATGCTGGATAAAACTCAAGACATCACCTAAGATTATTAAAAGGATTCTATACCTGAAACAGGGCCTACTTTAGAAAATATTTGTTTTCAACTAGATTTATCAAAGAGGGATGTAAGAAGTGATTTTTCAGCAGAATCTGAAGAAACAAATATGAGTAAAACGTGTGCTTATGAGAAGTGATTCGGTGAAAACAAAAAAAAATCATCATTGTTTTCATCAGAAAACAAAAAGTGACTTAATTGAGTGAAATCCCTGCAAAAACGGCCACATTCATCAGAACTACAGGGGCTTTTATTGCTTGAGCTACCATGAACGTATGGGTGGCTGCAGTGCAATGAGCAGAAGTTGCATTCCTTTTCTAACCTGAGATAAACGCACCCAATATCTACCATGTTTTTGCTGGTGTCACAAGAATATCAAGGAAGGACTGCACCAGTGAGTTGCAGGCACCCTATGTTAAACACTTAGAAACACAAGCAAATCACAAATCAAGCATGGGATATAAATCACTCCGCTCTTCCTCAGAAGCATGATGCACAATTAAAAGGCAATTAACTAGTCCTCCTTCTGGAATGTGTAAAAAGAAACAAGGAATAACAAGTGTTTTGTTTTTTTCTTACTGATAGAGTCCCTAAATGGCTAGACCAAGTCAGCAGACCTTTTAGATCTGCCAGCAGCAGTGGTCACACTGCTTAAAAAAAAAACAAAAAACAAAAAAACTTTGCTAGTCATAACACAGGATTTCAATAAATCACTCAAAAACCTGTGCTTTTATGAAATAACAAAATATGAAAGACCAGGGCTGATCAACATAAAGAACAAGAAGTAAGAAGTAACATGGATCACCTATGATGGACCCTGCTGAGATCAGTGAAATTCCATCCCTTTAATGCTTACAGGTCGCCTCCACCACAGCGGTCTTGCCTAGCCATATTAAGAAAAGATGAGAGGAATGATGAAGATTAAGCCATTGTTTCCATTACCTACTATCATGACCATTTAGGTATCTTATCCTTCTATAAGAATATTTCAAAAATAGACCTAGTACCAACAAGATCACTTGCTCAAGCAGTAACTTGTGAGAGAGAATTAAAGAATGGCAATAGGACCACAAGCAAGTAAAAGGTTCTCTTTCTGAAGTCTTGACTTATTCTCATGGAAGTATTACAGTCCAATAAACTTAATACCAACAGGCCACATGATTTTAAATATTAATATAGTAGTGTTGCAAGTACTACAGACCAGAAGAGGATATGAGACTACCAGTAGAATGCATTTGAACTGGCATAGGAAAGAAAATGACTTGTGTTTGTCCTTATTACGGGGTGAGGAAAGAAATAATATAATCAGTGTAGCACATCCAAAGCAACTGCATTTTTATCATCTCAGTTTTCACTTTTGCAGCCAAAGAAGAATTTACGCTGATTGATTGAAAGCATTACCTAGAGTTTGTGCTAAGCTTTATTTATTTATTTGTTAAGGAAGGAGGCTCAGTGCTCATTAGGTATTTATTACCTTGAACAGTTTTAGCAAAGCTTTTGAAGTACTGTAAAGCAAGCTAATCAGGTGGGCAGCATTTATATTCATACTTAGAGAGGTTACAAATGAATTGATCAAGTCTAAGGAAGCTTTTAATAGAGAAGGTTTTGCAGTCCAATGCTTAGAGAAGCTGAGACTCTTCTACACATTAACTTCCCAAGGATATTAAATTAGAACTTCCCTGTGTGAAAAATAAGCTGCTTAGCAAATTTGCTTTTCCCCCCCACAGAGGGCTGTAAATGTGGAAATAGTGGGGTTCCAGTACCATACAAAATAATTGGTGCATCTTTAACTTGTGGACAACAGGAGCAAAGCAGGTTTTATACTGATGATATGGTGATAGAAAATCTCTACAGCCACTAAGTTGGAGATACAAAGTCAAATGAATCGCACATTAGCAAGTCTGACCATGTTCAGCTGTCTTAATATGTAGAAATAGCCCCTTACAGTAGTTCTTGTCATAAGAACTCAGTGCAACTATGCACAGAGCAAAAAGGTGCCATGTCCGGCACTCAGCTGGGACTAGCAAGAAGTAAAGGATCAGTCCCATCCATATCTCTGTACACCTCACCCTATTCAGCAGTATTGTGACAACCAATATAACTTTTGTTTTTATTTTTGAAATATCAGGGCAGCATTTTTTCCCATTTAAGTCAATACAGAATCAAAGCTATCTTCTGCAGTGCTTGAGAAATTGTTATCTTTCAGAACAGATGTGAAAGTGAAGGTCCTAACCCCAAGAATCATTAAAGATCCAGACTATTGCCTTCCCCCCCCTCCCCCCCCATTAATGTTAATTCACTACCCTGACCACATTCCCATTGAGGTAATTACTGTTTGCCTCTGAAAATTCATCCCTTTTTTTTTTTAACACAGACTAAACAGACCAGATCCTTCCCTTAGTAACACTACCAGTATTGTTGATCCCATTCTGCTTCCAGGTTCTCTGCTTCTTGCAGTGCTGCACAGCGTGGTTGTGCTTTTCTTTTTTCTTCCCACCCTCAAACATCCCCCTGCAGTGGAAGGTGCAGTGACACAGTCAAAAGGGTTTGTGAACACCAAGACTGAATATCTAATAAAATGAATAACTAATTCTTAGTTCTAAGAATTCCTGCAATTTAAACATTATTCAAAATCAACTTAGAATATTCTTAAGCATAACAGTGGGGAAAAAGTGCAACTTTTAGCAAACAGGCCATGGAAGCAACCTCACTGATGGGGAGCGACTGGCAGACTGAGCATGCAGACACCAGACTTTGTGCTGCCCAAAACTCTGGCGCCAAATCCCCAGCTTCAAAACTTAAAGAGATGGGATGGTGTACTTACAACCCCCTCACCCCAGAATTTAGCTTTTAAGTGAAGTTATTAACTAAGGGTAGACTACAACTCTTAAAAATTAAGGTAGACTTTAGGAATCTAAAGTAATTGTGAAGTGGTGTCAGGACAACAGTAACAGAGTCTCTTCTGGAGGAAAAAGTCATATATACTTATAAAAACTTCTATGACATTTTCTGACTCACCCAACATGTTTTATGACTCATCCTTTGGGAGTGATATCATCTCCTCTCTGCCCAGTGGGAGCTCAGGCACTAGCTTCAGTAGGACAGATTTTTCTTGCTTAACTTTAAACATAGAAGAGGTGTCTTCATTTAAAAGAAGTATTTGTTCAGTACAAGTCTAGCAAAGTGATCTCTCCGTTTGCCAGAGCTGACAGCACATTCTCTCCAAAACAGAGAGATGTGGCAGATATTTAAAGAAA